GGCTGCCCACGTTGGACCACAGTAATTACGAGCGACCTTACGTAAGGAAGGCAGAGTCAGGGGGAGGCTGGAGGATGCTATGCTGCTAGATCTTAAGATAGAAGAAAGGGCCGCAAGCCAGGAAAGGCAGGTGGCTGCTAGAAGCTGGAAATGACAAGAAGACAGATGTTTTTCTAGAATGTCCTCAAAGAACCCAGTCTTGCTGATACCTCACTTGAGATTCTGATCTCAGTAAGTCTAAGGGGATATGTGTGTGCTGTTTTACACCGTTAGTTTTGTGGCTACTTACTGCAACAGTAGAAGACTAATACATTGGGTGCATGGGTCCCATCCCCTCAGCAGTGCAGAGCAGGGTGGGTGTTTAGACATTAGTGACAGGTACAGAGGTGTAGCACAGACAGTGTTGTGTTTAACTGCCTTAGGGATGAATAATTTAATGTATGACTTTATAGTGAAACAGAACAGGCGTGTGTGTGTGTGTGTGTGTGTGTGTGTGTGCGCGTGCGTGAGTGCGTGTGTGTGTGTGTGTGCGCGTGCGTGAGTGCGTGTGTGTGTGCGTGTGCGTGTGCGTGTGCGTGTGTGTGTGTGTATGGGTACATGCATACATATGCATGCACATGCATGGAGGTCAGAGGTGGGCATGTCATTTATACTTTCAGACCGGGTCTCTCAGTGAGCATGGATCTCATTAATTGGTTTAGATCGGGTGGATGGCAAACCCGAGGGATCCTTAATTTCTGCCTTCCTGTATCTTGCCTATGGCCATGTGCTGTGGTGCCCAGCTCTTTATGTGGGTACTGAGAACCAGAATCCAGATCTTCATGCTTGTACAACGTGTACTTTACCAACTGAGTCACCTCCCAGCCCCACAAAGAATCGTTTTTTTATGATTTCTCTGTTATATTTTACTATCCCCCAAATTTTCTGACTTTCATGTAACTGTCATTTTTCCTGGAGCTTTTTGCTGGACAATGAGGGGAGATCTCAGCAGCTTGGCAAAAAAGAAAAATGAAGTAAGGTCTAACAAGGTGGTGGGTTTTGGTTTGTTTGTTTATGTTTACATCATGATGAGACTAAAAAGTCTGAAATATGCTTGACATCCACTGAGGGCTCTGGAGGACATGCCAACTTTAAATGCTCTAGATGGAAAGCTTTCCAAAATGTACTACATACTTTTTAAATTTTCACAGAAAGCACTCTAGATCTGGTGTGTGTGTGTGTGTGTGTGTGTGTGTGTGTGTGTGTTATCTCTTCTCATTATTTTCCTCCTTGCTCTATGCCCTTGATAGCCTCAACCTCTCTAAAAATTCGGCATCTCTTTTTCACACACGCACGCACGCACGCACGCACTGTGCATGCGTGCGTGCGCGTGTGTGAATTCATGTAGCACAGGCTCACTTAACTCACCCTGTGGCCAAGGAAGATCCTTATCCCTTAACTCTCCCTCCCAGGTGTTGGGATTACAGGTCTGTGCACCACACCTGGCTCCCAGCCTTTTCTCTAATGTGCTGCTGAGGTCTTAGCAATGAGTAAATGAGTTCACGACTCCTAGGTGCAAACTGGGCACCTAGAAATCAATGGGCCTGGACTTTGTGTCCTTTCTCCCTGCTAACCAGAGACCATTCTTCTTACTTCATCATTTCAAGATGGCAGTCTGGACTGCAGGGAGGCAGCTATAAGAGGAGTGCTACCACGTGCTGCTATCTGAGCAAGCTGTCAGAGTGTGCAAAACAGCAGAGAGGCCCCAAATCCCTAAGAGCAGGCTGTACTTTGTGCCATCGCTGGGAACATGGGGCTAAGCTGGTTTCCTGACGTCACTGAGATGCTCTTCTAGTTAGAGCTTTGTAATGATCAAGTTTACTATTGGTATCAGTTCAAAGTAGTTTTTTCCTGGGTACATCACAATTCTGTCTGTCAGATTTCTCTCCCTCTACATCTTTTCTGGGAAGTCCTCCCTCACCTCCTTAGATCTCACTACCCACCTACCCCTAATGTGTCGTAACTTATTTCATGTGGCATTTATAAATCAATCATGATAGTAACTCTATGAACAAATAAGCTCAAATTCTTTCAGAAACATTTTTAGCTTTAGAAGCAACTACCTGTTATTTTAAGTTAAACCTTGAGGTAGTAGAATTAAGGTAATACACCACTCTGGAATGATCAACACTTTCCTGGTATACTCTTATCTGGAAAGCAATTTGGAAACACATGGTAAAAGGCCTCAAAAATGCTCAGAAGTAATTCTACACCCAAGAACCTGTCCTGATGAACCTTCTATACAGAGGCTGGTGTTAAAGAGCAGGTTTTGTGTAGAGGTCTCAATCCTATATTTTACTCTGAGGGAGAAGTAAGGGGCAGCTCCCACTTCCCCAGGAGACCGCCAGGTATGAACACTAAAAAGCTCCCAGGCCTTGAGAAGCTCAGCAGAGTGGAGTCCCAGGAAACTTGTTTTGTTTTTACAGCCAGCTCCTGGCCTCAGGAATATTACCTGTGCTCCACTTCAGTCTCTCCAGATAATGACAAACAAACAGAAGATACTATTGGTTCCAGTAGGCAGAGGGAAATTATGGAAAAATAAACTGAAGTTCCTCACCAGTTCTCAGCCCTGCCTGATTATTTTGGGTGGGGGTACAGTCATCAGACAGAATGAGCCTCAGAACAGTGTGTTAAGAAGACTTGTTACATAATGGTTACACCACTTTTTTTTTTTTTTTTCCAGGCAGTGCATGGCCATATTTGCATTTCAATGAGTTAATTTAAAAAAAAAATACACAACAAAGTTTATGGGCCTTATTTTAAAATTTCATTAAAATTCTCCAAAAAATTAGGTAATTTATTTATTTATTTATTTATTTATTTATTCAATTTGTTGTGTATGGTGTTGGGGGAGGCGCCGACATGCCTGTGTGGACAGAGAACACCTTTCCTGAGATAGTTCTCTCCTTCTACAAATGCATCCTGAGGACTGAACTCGAGGACTCGGGCTGGACGGCAAGTGCCTTTCCCTGCTGGGTTACTCAGTCAGACCCGTTTCATTAAATTTATATTTCTTTTTAAGTCAGGATAATTTGGTTTAGATCTGGGACTGGCCTCATTCATATGTCAGTCCTGGACATATCCCCCAGAAACCTGCTTTCAGGGACTAACCTAACTTGAACTTGTGTAACACTGCTTTTTCCATTAGCTGAAATTATGTGTATTGTTTTTGGACCAATTATCTTATGTGTATGTTGTCTGGGGTATATGTATGTTTCTTTAAGATCCATCCCCTTACTAGCCTGAAGCTCCACACAGCAAAGGAATAGGCCTACACCTTCTACCCACTACACTTACCAAACTCTCTCTGATAGACAGACAGAAACATTTGACTTTGAGGGGGCGGGGATGATCAGAATTCGTAACAATGCACACATTTGATTCCCACTGTGTAATGCCATGCAGAAGGTTTTGTGACAGTGTTAGTGACAAATGATTTAAACTACATAATATAAATATGCCATTAACTTGGACTTGCTGTCACATCTGAAATGTACTCTTCTTAGATACAGACCTTTGTTCTGAAGTTTGGAAAGAAGTTGATTCTTGCTAAGAAGAATGTGAAAAACTCTTTTCTATCACAGACAAAAGCTAGAACAAATCACCCCCACCCCAAACCAGCAAAACAAAACAAAAACAAACAACAACAGCAACAAACTCTAAAGTAAATGTTGCAGAAACTGTAGAAATAACAGGATAAAGTATAAGTGCAACAGAATTCTCAAATATCTATTATGGCATTTTCTCACCGACTTTTAGAAAACCAAAAAGGATATAACGAGATGGGCTTTCTCTGTCGTAATGGATTGATTGAGTCTCTTTTGCAAAAGACAATTCGCTAATTTCCCCTCACTTCCTAAATCTCGTGTCACTACTTTAAATGAGGGAGAACAAATAGAACAAACCAAAGTATGGAGAAAGTATGTGTGCGAACTTTATTTCATCATGAGCGAATCACTTCTGGGCAGTAACAGAGAACGGTGATATCTACATGATGATCGGGGGTTGACTGGTAGTCACATACATACCTTATATTTGCACATAATATATATAAAATTCATGGAGGAATGGATTTCTACAATACAGTTTCTTTGTTCGTAGAGAACGTGTTCCGTTAGTTTCACTTAGAAAATGACCCCCAAGTCTGTGACTGTGGTACCGGGGATCGCAGGTCCACATCCTGTAACTAATAATAGACACCAGTATCTCATGAACATTGACAGAGACTAAGAAATGACACCTTCCTGCGGGATGAAAGGACAGACAGAAGTACTCAGGTGGTTATGTTAGTAACTGGTTTGGGCATAACTGAGTTCTATAATCTAGTGAGAAGAGAAACAGTTTTCATATAGTTCTATTGACAAATATTAGTAACACTGCCACAGTTTCTCCCTGCTCTGCTTCCACGCGTGTCCCATCTCATCACGCCACCATCAGTGCACTGGGGAAATGTGGCCAGCACCATCAAGGCCATCTGCATTGCTTCTAGAAAGAATTCTTGGAGGCCCTTAGCATTTAGCATGGTATTTCATGAAAAGAGGCAACAGCCCTCAGGCTGGTAGGTCATCCCAGAAGGAAGGTGTTAAATGTTAAATCTGGGCAAAGAGCTAGAAGCCATGTCACTGTCATCTCTGTGGGCACAAAGCCTCTTCCTTGAATAGCTTCACTGGAACTTACCACCCCTCCCCAAAGCGTTGCTTTCACAGCTATGGGTCTTTCACCCTTGCTGTGGGACTCAAAGTTGTGCTTGTTTTGAACCATGTGGACCATTTTAGGGGTGACTGACACATTCTGAGGTTTGTGGAAGGTAGGAGAAAACACCACAGTTCTTCTAGCTAACATCTTGAACAAAGTCAACATCAGAGATTAGTTGTGGAGGATGCCAATGGGGTAGGAGGTGACTTCCATGATTAAAACAACACCCCAAAGGCTCAGAATGCTTTGGCATCAGCCACACATACCCTTCATAGGTTTAGTCTCATGTGTTCCCGCTGCTTGTAAAATTAAAACAAAAACAAAAACATTAAAGCCTCAGAGGTTATATATACCAGGTCATCAGATGTAAGCCTCTTCTAGACAGATTGTCTCTGATGATCAGGAAATTTATAGTAAAGCCAAGAATCAAGTGTCCTCTAGAGAAACAATGTCATACAGTGGCCCCAGGCAGCCTAACCACCCCTAGAGGGACTGGCAATGACCCACATGGCGAGGTAAAGCAGAGCTGCTGGTCTCTTCCTGTTTGGTGCCCACAGGAAATCTCAGTCCTGGTGCCGATGGCCTGGGCTTTGGGTAGGAAAGGAAATAGTCCAAGCTCGTTAAGCCAGAGTGGTCAACAGGCTCTAGCACCCCACACCCACAGAAAAGATGTTCTAGTTATACAGATCTAAAGTTGGAAAGAATCTACATCCCAGCCCCGTCAGGAGCGAGCAAGAGCTGCAAAGACATGGACAATCATTTGGGCTAGAGTGGCCATGGGTGTGGCTTGGTGGAGAATGGGAGCCTGCTCTAGAGCCTAAGCGTCTCCATCTTAGACACCCGGGCACATTCAGGCCTTCGTGTTCAGCTTCTTCCACTGTAGCTTAGAGTGTTAGCAAAGGAAGCCACTGGAGCTGCTGATGTGGGATCTCTGGTTTGCTCAATCCACATCTCACGGGCCTTCTAAAGGCGGGAGAGGGACAGCGGCTCTGGGGCCGGAGACAGTGCAAGTCATGGAAAAACTTGAGGGATGTGGCTCTGATGGGGTTACCTCCAGGCTGCCAGCCACGTTAGACGCCGCGTAGTTCCCGCTCTGAGGGATACTGCTGAAGGGCCTTACCCTCAGACGTCTGGAGGACCAGTGTCTTGCTGTAGGGGCTGACTCCTGTTTTGTTGAAGGCCTTGACTCGAGCGTTATATGTGCTGTTGAAGTGAAGGCCATCCACGGTGCACATTGTTTCTTTTCCAACATACACTTCCTGTCAACAGAAAAGAGGACCCCCCTCAGGTGAATCCTGAGAGCGACAAGGAGCCACCCGGCTCTGTGGTTGGAAGCACAGTTTCCTATCCGCCTGATCCAGACATGAATTCTGTGAATTACTGGACTGTTTAATTAATTGGTTAAAGGCCTCAGTTATCTAATCTGTAAAAACAGGGACATTAATACCTACTTTTCAAGACGGGCATGAGAGCAATCTAACTTTAGATTTGTAGTGGGTTCTGTAGCTTAAGAGTGATCCACAGCTAGTATTTAAAAAGGCATAATTAAGCCGGGCAGTGGTGGCACACACCTTTAATCCCAGCACTTGGGAGGCAGAGGCAGGCGGATCTCTGTGTTTGAGACCAGCCTGGTCTACAAGAGCTAGTTCCAGGACAGCCTCCAAAGCCACAGAGAAACCCTGTCTTGAAAAAAAAAACAAAGAAACAAACAAACAAAAAGACATAATTGGAAGTCTGGTTAAGATTCTGCTTATGGTGGGTGTTTATAGAGAACGTAACACCTTTATCCGTCAGCGTAGTTTGTAAAAAGCATTGTAAGAACATGAACACATGAGTGTCTATAAGCTGTGTTTCTAACCTCAGTACCTGTCACAAGGATTATACTCAAAGCCGTTGGAATGCAGGGAAGCGGGGAGGAAGAGTGACATTTCAAAGGCTTAAAATAAAGCCTAGCATAATGCATTTTCAGCATAGGTCTGGCATTTGCTTCCCTCCTCAGTTGTACACTTTGCAACAATCTGCACTTAAGACACAGTTTAAGGTGGCAGCTGCCTGCTTGTGGTCTTGAGTACCCACTGACCAATTTGTCACTGCTGCAGCAGTTAGGAAACCCTGCATTTTACATTAGCTCATCCAGTAATGCTGAACATTGATGCAGAAAAATAACTCATGCATCTTATTACAATGTACTTCTTGTTCCCATAGGTCCCTGAAATAGGGTCTGAGATTTTGTATTTTTAACAAATCCCCAGGTAAAGCCAGTGCTGAATAACGAGACGGGCCTTTGAAGGAGTCATATCCTAACACAAGGATGATCCCTTCTTATGGTGGCTTTGGTCTAAGTGGAAGGGACCCAGATGTAGGAGCCATGGTCTGACAGAAGGAACCAGAGGCTGATTTCTTTTAATCCTGGGCCCTCAAGAGAGAGGAGCCAGCTAGTGTTACGATTCTGAGTGTAATGTCTGTGAAAGAATAGCTAGAAAAGAAACTTAGCTGTGAGAAGATGAGTGGTTTAGTTCAAATGTTAAGTTTTAGGCTGGTTTCAATGTGTCAAAGTTGAAAATTCTCCACAAGTAGAAATCTGGGCCTATGAGATAAGTTGTGTGCATGAAAGAGATGGCTGGGGAATGCTAGGCACACTAGGAGGTAAGGCAGCAGGAGGAAGCGATAGGCTTCAATGGTATCCACATATGATGACTTGTCCATGCCAGTCAACACATATGTAAATAAAGACCTCCCTACCAAATGAGAGAATCCTGAGGAGAATCATGAAAGTATTTAATCCTAGCAGAGGAGGAGAGAGGCCTCTGTAGGCTTTGCTCTTGGAAGCTACTGGCCCAGGTTTTGCTATTGACTGGGAGAAAGCCTCATCTTCTGGGGCTTGAGGTTTGCTTTGGAGAGATTCTCCTCTTTGTCAGTCCTGAGACGGGTCTTGGTACCCAGAAATGTAGAAAGCAAGCTCTGTGTGTGCGTGCGTGTGCATGTGCGTGCGCGCTTGTGCGCGCGCACACACACACACACACACACACACGTGTGTGATGGCTATTTGGGTTGTCAATTTTACTACATTTGATATTAAATTAAAACCCCAAAATGACTGGGTCCACCTGTGAGAGATTTTTGTTTAATTAAATCATTTGAAGTGGGAAAACCCACCTCTAATCTGGGCCACACCTTCTGCTGGCAGCCTATATAGATGTGAACAGGATAGAAGGCATCCTCTCTCTTTGCCTGCTTGCTTTTGCCCTCACTAGCAAGTCCATTCCATCATTGGCATCAGAACCTACTTCTTCAGGATTCCAGTGTAGACTGAAGACCAGTGTAGACTGAGACATCCAGCCTCATGGACTGAACAACTACTGGATGCTTGGACTCTGTTCGCAGCCAGCCGTTGTTGGGTTAGCTGTACCACAGCCTGTAAGTAATTTTACCAAATCCCCTTTCTATATATTTATAGAGTCAAATCTATAAGTTCTGTGCCTCTAGAGAACCCTGACTAATACAGTATGCTTGAGACAGAAGCAGGCACACACAGACAGGCTGCCACATAGAGATCACAAATCTGTGGGCACCACAGCCATGTGGTGATTCATGTCTGCCTCATATCCAGAGGGAACCATGAACTTCCCAGAGTGGTTAGTATTCCCTTGCCTTGTGGTTGTAATACTTTTTGGGCTCCGGTTCTGTCTGATTAAAGGCTTGGGGATTGGGGGAACGACTAGGGAGAGATTTACTAGGGAAGCTCTCTCAGCAAGGAGGCTGTAATAGAAGAGCTTGCCAGCTAAGAAAAGTGTCAGTCCAAAACACTAGAATCTGTCATAGCAGAAACAAGGCTTCGGCAACGGTTGATGGTATTATTAGCACTAAATCATGATAGCAATAGTAACAGCCAGTACTGCAGGCTCATCAGGGATGCAGCAGCCTGCTGCTTTCCCATATATGATCTAATGGACTCTAAGCACCAAAGCACCACATACATGCTGTGGTGGTTTGAAAGCCCCTGCCCAAGGGAGTGGCACTATTAGGAGGTGTGGCTTTGTTGGAATAGGTGTGGCCTTGTTGGAGTAAGTGTGTCTCTGTGGGGGTGGGCTTTGAGGTCTCCTATGCTCAAGCTGACACAAGTTGCTTCTGCTGCTTGCTGGTCAAGATGTAGATTTTTTTTTTTTTTTTGAGACAGGGTTTCTCTGTATTGTTTTGAAGCCTATCCTGGAACTTGCTCTGTAAACCAGGCTGGCCTCCAACTCACAGAGATCTGCCTGCCTCTGCCTTCCTAGTGCTGAGATTAAAGTCGTGCGCCACCACCGCCCAGCTGATGTAGAACTCTTAACTCCTTCTCCATCACCATGTCTGCCCGAATGATACCAGGAAGATAATGGACTAAACTTTCGAAACCATAAGCCAGCTCCAATAAGAGTTGCTGTGGTCATGGTGTCTCTTCACAGCAATAGAAACCCTAACTAAGACACATGTTATTGTCTTTGACTCCTCACTGGCAGATGCTCAGAGAGACAAGAAATAGGCTCTGTCACACAGCAAAACTGTCTTTTTGAAAGGGCAGGATGATTTGACAGACCCCATCCATCTTTGACAATACAAGACAAGAAATCGCTGCCGGAGTGGTCCAGCTCCAGCAGAGATGGGAAGACCATGCAGTGATTGCACAGCAGGTCTTCTGCGGGAGTCCCTGGCATCGCTTAGTAAGTAAGTTATCTGCTTACCCGGAACTGACCACCGCTTCCATCATCCAGCTCCAGAATGTATCCTTCGGCGGCCACAGTGGAGAGAGGGGGCTGTTTCCAGGACAGTGTAGCACTATTGTTGTGGGTGCAACACTCCTCCAGCTGTAGGATGGGGGTTGCTGGGACTGGAGAGGAAGCTAAAGAGAAATTAGTGCAGTTCTAGCTTCTGTTGAATTACAACTGATTCATTAGCTTATAATGAGAAGCTTCCCGCTGGTAAGGAAGAGGTCTGGAAACACACACACACACACACACACACACACACACACGCACGCACGCACGCACGCACGCACGCACGCACGCACGCAGTCTGTCTATCCATCCATCCATCCATCCATCCACCCATCCATCCATCCACTCACTAGTGGTCTTCCAGATATTGTGGCCATAAACAGCAACAGCCATAGACTTTTGAAACTTGGTACCAAGGGACACAAGCCATGTCATCTCAATTTGAAACTTGTGAAGAACCTGACATTATATTCTCATGGCAGCTGTAGCTTAGAACAGTGAGAGGTCAGGCCCATTGCTTTTTAGGAATAGAACAAGTTGGTTAGGAGCCCAGGAGCAGATCTGAGTGTGACAGGGGACTCTTGATAGTTCCAAATCTTGTGAGAATCAGCTGAGGTAACAACCCTTTATAATGTAGATGGATTCATTCATATTATTTAAAACTATTAAGTAGCTGAACCTTCAGACACACGGACATAAAAATGCTGGTTGGCAATCCCGGTTCCTAACCTAGGAACTCAATATCGGTAACTGAGAGCAAAGTTTTAGCAAACATTTTTTTTAAAATTAAGTATTTACTTTATTTTATGTGTATGCGTGTTTTGTGTGCATTTGTACATGTGCACCCCTTGCATGTCTGGTGCCTGTGGAGGTCAGAAGAAGGTGTCAGATACCCTGGAACTAGTGTTGCAGACAGTTCTGAGCCACTGAGTTGGTTCTGGGAGCTGAACTCAAGTCCTCTGCAAAAGCTAACAGTGCTTTTAACCACTGAGCCATCTCTCCATTCCCATATATATATATATATATATATATATATATATATATATGTGTGTGTGTGTGTGTGTGTGTGTGTGTGTGTGTGTGTGTGTGTGTGTGTGAGCCCCAGAACATTTCCCCCAACCTTGTATTTTGATAACAGGAGAGAATTTTCATCCAGGCAAATTTAGATGAACAAGTGTTAATTATGGAACACCTGGTGTGCTGCATCACAATTGGACTTGGTGTGTCATGCCCTGAGTTAAATATGTTCCTGTCAGTCATTCCAAGCAGTGTTGATTTAACATCAGTTCAGGAAACAGGGTCTATGGTGGGTGACCTAGGAGACAAAAGCATCTCCAATGTACGTGATGTGAAGGACAGAACTTTCAATGAAACCAGATCCAAGTTGCTAAGTCAAGCATTCAATAAACCAAATTAGTGAGTGGTTAAATGTAGGTGACCATTTTAGGTTGGGAAGTCTTACATTTCAACAGCATAAGACAGAATCTTCCAAGAGACTTGTGGCTTTTGCAGCCATAGGAGACCCAGTGCATCTGAATTTGGAGGAAAGGAGAGAAACTCATTGCCTGGTTTAATAAACTCCAGGACTAGATGGAAAAGGGAGACAGAAGCAATAACTCCCAAAGGCTGTCATGAGCATCCACACAGAAACAGGCATCACTTGGGTGTTGCTGTTGGGAGTGGGAACAGCTTGAGGTCTATTAGTGTGTGAGGTTTTTGTTATTAAAAATATGTTTCCTTTATAAAGGAATGCATATTTTATATTTACTGTGGAATTTAGCCAAACTGTTTTCCAGAGGGCTTCTGGAGACATGGATGAATTTCCCTGGGATGTTTATTCTGTTAGGTCTATTATAAATCCATTCCTTGGACTGTCTGTCTCATTAGCTCATATCAATCTTTCGTTTTCCTTCGTTCATGCTGCAGGCAAGTGTACACTTCACCAATTACAAAATCAAAGAACAAGATCACAAAATGATTTCAACTTAAATCCTACGAATGCCTGCAATGTCTGAGCAGAAATGAGAATCTTCATTAGACAAAGGCATCACCAGGTGATTAATTGAAATAAATGATGCCACATGTAATTAAAACACTGGAACTTCATTTTCAGTCCCTAGTAGAAAGACTGGAAGAATAAATAACTTAGAAATAAAACTGCCACTAATGTTCAGATCTCATTATAGTCTCAGACTTAAACAGTAGGAAAATGAACAAAGCAGGTGTGGGGGCCATGTAGAGCTACACAGAGACACCGGCATGTCTAAATTGGAAATCTACTGCATGTTTGACTCTGTTTCTCTGTGTGCTAATAATCATTCTTTTCATTTTCATCTATTCCTTATTTATCCCCAAATGATGTATATAAAAAGCAAGCTTGTCAAAGTTACAGTCACATTAACTAAGACTCAGGGTTGACATTTAGAAAGAAAATTTTTATGGTGGGTGTTATCTTACCCTACTTCATTTTGAAATGAAATATGAAATAAATACATGGTTTACAAGAAATGCAAAGTATTTTCAATCATTCTGCATTTTAAAGATTGGCCATGGATATAGCACAACAGTTTCAGGGCTGATGTCCAAGAATGTTTTATTTTATTGAAACTTTTGTGTCTGGGGCTTCCCTAACTGTTTTGGTCTTTGTATCTTGTGTTCATTCTGGGACATCTTTGGCTTTCCCTTTGTAATCGGTTTCTCTTGGTCTGATCACAATTGTAGCATTTGTTATTCTCTTGGCCTATAAACACAAACTACAGACTGAAAGTTCTTTTGGATACAAAGTACTGTCTCTTGTGCTTCTGTGGGAAGACTGGTGGAGGTGAGGCTTGGGGCTCTGTCTGTTCTGCAACAGTGCCTTCTAATGTTTTCAAATATCATCATTTGAAGGATTTAAGTTCTTCTTCTAATTCTTCAGGCCACGAACACTAACAACCCTCCAAAATTCCTCTGTGAAATTAACACCAATGTGGTGAGGACAAGGGAGAAAGGAAGCCGGACCACAAACCCTAAGGGACACTTTACGAATACGTGGGTGGTAAGAGGCTTGCATGCGTTCACCTATGGGATTTTTCACAGCCACCCTCTTCTCACCTCTGTTTCATTCAAAGAAACTGAAAGCCAGAGAGGTTTCAAGGTTAACAAGTGGTGGGACTGGATCTGGAGGTTGGGAACTACTGCTCTGGAGGAAGTGCATGGCACTTCTAGGAAGTTATCACTGGTCCACTACAGGTTTCAAGGTTAACAAGTGGAGGGGCTGGATCTGGAGGTTGAGAACTACCGCTCTGGAGGAAGTGCATGGCACTTCTAGGAAGTTATCACTGGTCCACTAAGAAAGACTGTCACACACGTTCTGAGGACAGTCATTTCAGCCTCCAAACCTCTGCATGTGGACAGACTGCCTGTGCGTATGTGTGTGTTCACCCATCCCTGCCAGCCCTCTCCTGGGGCTCTTTCCCTGCCACACAAAGGAGAGTCTGTCTGTTTAGATCACTCTGTCCTTGACTATGTCCTTGGGACATAACAAGGGCTGTTGCATTCAAGGGGAGTTAATGAAGATTAATTTGTCCTCATGGGAGCAGAGGCACTTAAAGGAATTAACAACCATTGGGTCTATGTGCTAAAAGGCTGGTGGAGTTTTAGGTCACAATTTTGTCCTCGTATGGATTTAACATGGAGACAATCGATTTTAGCAACATGTATTAAAATGCTCTGTGTGCTCACAATTCTAGGATAGTATTCTTCAGAGAAAGTAGATGCCTGAAACCTGTTCTTACCTGCACAGCAGAACCTCTGAAAGAGTACAAAAGGACTCTGAAAACTCTACTCCCATGGCCCAGGAGAGAGTGGGTAATACCAACTGAGAATTTGGAAAACTATTCTTAAAATGATCTCTGATAAAAGCAGGAGATAAAACACGGCATGTCATTTTTATACAACTAAAGACAAGGAGCCCAAACATAACTCCTAATGGTTGGAAAGAAGGTGAGGTGGGTTACTTAAAATATTTTGTGTTTTTACTGTGTCCATGTAACATCATTAGAAAAACACATCTAATGACATTGTTATTTCATAATGGGTAGATTGTGTTAATATTATTCCAAATGCTTTTTAATTTGGATCTTTTGTACTTGGACTTAGGATGCAGTTTGGGGGAATATTTTTACTGACAAGTTGTGAAAGGGCAGTTCATTGGGTGGATTAAGAGTTACTGTAGACAATGAGAGAGTTAACCATATACTATGAGCAGCTCTCCATGTGCTAACAAATATCCCAAAGGCTGGGGGGGGGCAGGGAGAGGTTCAACTGCAGTCAGTCACCTTATACTGCATCACGACCTTTGGCTTTTTCTTTTCATCACAAATATTTGACAGGTTAAAAATTATTCAGACTGAAAAGGGCCAGGCTCTCGCTGAATTGATTAAACTTAATGAACACAAAGCAAGACACATAAATTAACAAGGCAGAGAGAAAATAATCAAATTGAATTAAATTAAGATGAAGTGATAAACAGAAATTTTGCTCTTACACCCAATGGTCTTTTCTACTAACGCCATAAAGAATTGTCCTGGATGTCCTGTGTGTCAGGCCAGTCGCCACACTTAGGGGCATTCTGCATTTTAGCCTTCAGTGTAGTGGCATTCTCTGCTGCCTTGTGTACAGACTTGAGCAGTGTGCACACAAGGCTTTTCTACTCTTGCCTCTGAGTGCACTAAGGGAACAAGTGACTGTTCTTGGAAATGTGGTGTGCTATGCTGAGCTCACAGACCTCAGTTCCAATACCGGCTGCAGGAACTGCTGCTCACTCTAGGCTCATCCTGCCACCTGGACTGCACAAGGGGTGGCTGGGTGGACTAGCCTCAAAAGGCAGAGAGTGTGGGAGCAGACTGCTCTGCCAGCCGACCAAAGCATTTTAAAGTCTCGAGGCTTTTAACCTTCTGACTTCCCTTCCTTCTGCCCTATTACCAAGGTGAATTGGGTTAGTGCATTTCCCCACCCTTCCACCAAAAGCCTTTACATTGCTCTTTTATGATGTATTTCTTCCTTCATGCTACTCGAGACATAACTTTTTAATGGTTTCATTTTGTTGAAAGGATTGGAGATAGGCAGAGGCTGACTAGGGGAAGTTAAGCTGGGGCTCTATATTCTGCAAAAGATAGTTTGCTGACTTTGCCATGTAGGTGTCAGAGAAGATTTTTAAACAGCAATAAAAGATTGCTGCAACACACACACACACACACACACACACACACACACACAGTAAACATATGAAAAGAAATTAGCTATTTCTCCAAGAAGCTACACTGTTCCACAGAACAGATTGGGAATGATGCTAGTGTGCTCTGAAGATACTTCTCGGGGTGGACCCAAGCCCCACCCCTTTCTGTAACTTAGGCTTCCAGTGTTCCGTTTCCTCAGCTGATTTGTAGAGCTGTGAGAACAAGTGGTAGTGTAAAAAAGTCACCTGCACTTGGGAGAATGCCTGGTTTGGATAACATTTCATAAATGCCCTCACTTTTTATTACAGCAGGACATTTTAACTTCCGATCTATACGTCACTTTAAAAGTTGGTTAAGGCACCATCTCAAAGCAACACCTATCAATAAAAAATGAGGAGCGTGAGAAACCAAGAGCAAAAGGTGGTGAAAAGGAGGCACATATGTAGGGAGAAACCCTGGATACCTGTACCACTGACCACGCCACTTTATCCTCACAAGTGAGGATAAAGAGCAAGGAGGAGAGGCACTCTCGAGAGGCGTGTGCTCTCAGGTTTAGGCCAGGTCTCGGAGGCATCTGGTACTGGGCTTCTTGAAGTGCCAATCTAGTTATCTGCTCCTCATGTGAGTATCCGTCTTAATAAACATACCAGTTAATAACCTATCCCACGTTCGATCTTGTTCCTTTTCACACATAAGTGCCAAACAGATGGGCAAATTCACCCACACGACAGCAGAAGTACTGAAACTTCTCTGGTTATAGGATTCTGTCTGATAAGTGGAAGCAGGTACATTTTTCCTCCCTAACATCTACAGTTTGGAAAGCATCTGCTTTTAGAACTCATTTATTACGTGGATGCTTAAATGAAGAGGTGAACAAGGCAAATCAATGTCTCCAGCTAAGAAAAGATTTTACTTTTGTTTTTATTATGTGCATGTGTGGGGTTTGTGCGTATGAAGGCAGTGCCCAAAGAGGCCAGGAGAGTTGAGTTCCTGTGGGGCTGGAGACCCAGGTGGCTTCCTGCCCTGCCTGATGTGGGTCCCGGGAACCAGACTGGCCCTCTGCAAGGGCAGCAAGCATTCTTAACTGCCAAGTCTCCTCTGCAACCCTGAAAAGCACTGTTTTCATTTTTGAATTGTTTCAAAGGCTTACATCTTCTTTGTTTGATATGGTGTCTCACCATGTAACACTTGTTGGCCTGGAATGTGCTGTGTAGGTCAGATTAACCTGGAACTCACAGGCCTCTGCCTCCTCAGTGCTGGGAGCAGGCAATGTGCCACCAGGCATGGCCCAGTTTCTTCAGTTTTCAAAAAAGGTCAGAACGTGTTAACATGGTAAAGTTGGGGAACACAGCAGTGGTTGTGGGGGTGAGTTGACATGTGATGAAAAGCTGCCTTTCTGGTTAGTTCTTGAGACAGAATCTTACTATGTAGTTCACACTAGTCTGAAATCATGATCCTCCTGCCTCTGCCTCCTTATCATAGCTGGGGTCAGAGATCTCCACCTTTTCATCTGGCTTTGAAATAATTCTTTATTTTGATTGTGATGGTAATTGTATGAATCTACATATGTCATAAACATGCAGTTAAATAATCAGAAATAATCTTCAGATGGATTAGTCACATCACCATAAAAAATACCATTGCATAGCTGGCTTGTGTTTTTAATCATAATCCTTCTGATGCCCAACTTAAAAACAAAACAAAAAACCCAAAACTTCAAACAGACCGTGCCATATCCCTTAGTTCTGCAAGCTAATCTTAAAGCTTATCTCATTTTCATTTCTCTCAAAACCTCCAGCCATCCTCTCAGATTCTCCTTCATCTATGCTCAACATCTGTTTGCCCTCTCCATCTGAGAGGACACTTTCATTTCAATGCCAGGTTTCTGTGACTTTAAACACTATTTAGGGGTCACTTCTTGTGGGAAGGTCTTAGCTGTGCATGGTGACCTCCCTTCTGACTGTGTTGTTAGTGGCTCTGCTGCTGACATGTGAATTCTCTGGGTCTCTTTCAGCTTACACAGCTAAAATGGAGATGTTTTCATTCCCCGGCAGAGGTGAGAGTTACTCTAGATTTTAAAAAGATTTTATTCAAGTGTGTGTGTGTGTGTTTGTGTGTGTGTGTGTGTGTGTGTGTGTGTGTGCGTGCAAGTGCGTGCAAGTGCCCTCAGATGCCAGAGTGGGCATTACAGATGAGCTGCCTGAAGTGGGTGCTGGGGACTGAACATGGATCCTCTGCAAGAGTAGCCAGTTCTCCTTTTCTTACTCTTCCCCTCCTTCCTCTTCCTCTTCCTCTTCTGATCCTTCGTTTTTAGACAAAGCCTTGCTATATAATTTTGTCTTATCTGGAGCTTGCGATGTAGATCAGGCTGGCCTTGAACTCACAGATGTGCCTGTCTCTGCCTCCTGAATGCTGGGATTATAGGAGTGTACCACCAAGCTCAGCAGCAACTGCTTGTAACTGCTGAGCCTGTTTCTCCAGTCCCACTCTGGATGCTATAACCTTCATCCCAGGGTCACCCACAGTGCTTCAAGCAGCAGCGTCTGCTCAGGACATCGTGCTGACACTGGGGATGCAAGAACTCACCTTTCACTTGCACAAAGTCCAGCTGGTGAATGGATTGCAGCAAGGGGCTGTTGTCCAGGCTCAAGTCAAAGTCCGTGGTCATCCTGGGAGTGAGTGTGCCTTTCCCCCACTGGTCCTCAGTTAAGTGGACACGCCTTATGAGGGCGTCTGAAATCTAATCACATCAAAGACCACAGCCTAAGAAACACAACATCACATTCAAACCACAGCACTGCTCCTGGACTCTCTGTAAGCACTGCCACCAAACCGTGAGGACCTCAAGCCCTTCCTATCTCAGTGTGCTCTGTGAGTAAGACTGTGTCACTACTAAGGTAGCTCACGGTTTCTGAAGCAAATTTGAACATGTTTGTTGAGTTGGAAGGAGGCCACTACAATTAGGGCTTTTAGCTGATTAATAGATGTGCCTGGGATATAATCATGCATTTGTTACTGAGCTTCCAAATGCTGACAGCTCTAAAGAATGTGATGCAATGGAAACCAGTTTATCCTATAGGATCCAAGGCTCTACCCTTCTGTTTCAGGGTGTGGGCAGCCAGACAAAATTCGGAAATGGGGTATGCAAGTCAGAGAAGCTGCTACATATCCTCTTAAATCTTAACTGCTTCATCTCCATGTGACTGTCACTTGATTCCTTATAAGAGACCTCTTTCATTACTTTCTTTTTCCTTATTTAAGAATTACTTATTTATTATGTATACAGTGTTCTGCCTGAATGTATGCCTGGAAGCCAGAAGAGAGCATCAGATTTCATTATAGGCAGTTGTGAGCCACCATGTGGTTGCTGGGAATTGAACTAGGGACCTCTGGAAGAACAGCCAGTGCTCTTAACCACTGAGCCATCTCTCCAACCCCTCTCCTTCCATTTCCTACATTCAGCTCCATCTGTCACTCTTGACTGGCTGCAGAACATGAATTGGGAGAGATGAAATGTCCTAGATTAGTAAAAAGACTCCTTGTCTTTGGTGTCAAAAATGTAAGTAAACCCCAGCTTATAGCATAGATTAGCATAGCATTTTATAATTGACAATGAAAAAGAAGTCAAAACCAAAACAATCCCTCTAGCACCACTGCAAAACATAGTGGGGTTACTGAGCAGAAGGAAGGGGCAGCAAGGCAGGACCTTGCACACAAGGACCCCTGCTGACAAAACTGTCAGGGAGGAGGCCCGGGATTCCCAGGCAAGACAATACTCTCTTCTTTGGAAGAAATGACACGATTAAGCACAAGAACAAAAGTGTGCTCCCCCCACCCCGCCCCCTCAGCCCAGGATGCCAGAGACAGTGTTCTGTAGCAGGCTCTCCCACACTCACTGGGGATGTAGGTAGGTTCTGCTTTTGAGGGACACATGGTAAGTCAGGCTGCTGGATGTCCCAGCTGTGTGTCCGACACTCACACAGGGTAAGAGACATCTGAAATAGGAAGCAAAGCTAATAAATACGGACCTGCAGAAAGCCACTGGGATCATTCTCCTTAATCACTTCCAAGCAGTACTCCATGAGGCCCGTGGTCTGGCGCAGTTTCACTGTGCAGTGAGAGATCTGGTCCCGAACCACCTGAGGTTGATGAGGAAACAGAAGGGTAGGTGCAAAATGGCAGAGGTAGGAGGGAGGCACACTGGGACTTTGGGAAACTCCCTCAAAGCAGAATCCAAGAGAATCATGGAAATGGACCTAAATACTTTGTGCCACTCTCTGCACGGACAACAGCTCTGGCTAACAGATGTGGGTGGTATTTATAGGAAATGGCTAACAACAGGACCCTTCAGAAAAGATTGTGGAAGTCACAACATTGAGGTTAGAACTCTGTGAATCCAGTGACGTTGGCGCATCAAGGTCTTGCGCAGGACCCTAAAGGCATTCATCTCTGTGGAAGTTGACCTTCCTGTGAGCTGCTCTTGGGGTGAAGACATGAGCTGTCTGTAAGGGAGCTACAGCTTCCACAAGGGCAGCTGTGTGTCTACTGGCAACGCTCACCCTCTTTCCTGGTCTGCTATCTCTTCTACAGGGTTTCACCATCTGAACCCCAAGGACATTCATCATAGTCTTTTCTAGAGTGCACTGGACAGCCAGCTGGAGCCTGTACAGCATCGGGATGATGGCAATAAGTGAGTTAGAGAAAGATGACAGGTGCAGATGGTCCCACTTAAGAGTCATTTGGAGAGCGCTTTTCAAGTCGGCCCCAATGGCTGACCCGTGAGTCTGCTTTCTTTACCGTGCATGCTGCCTCTAGGATGTTCTATACCCAGGGACAAAGGCATGAAGCTTCTCCCATTAGAGGCATTCACCTCCATAACCTTTGCACAGTGACCTGAATCCAAGTGGCTTTTGAAAAAGGGAATGAAAGCTCAGATTTCCCACGAACCTCAGACATATGTTTCTTTGATATTTGTACATCTTTGCCAAAGCCCTAAAATTTCAATCTTTTGGATTTTATGTATAATATGGAAAATGTTAATATTTATTAGAGATTTTTCCTTTGTTCTTTTCAGTTTTGATTATCAGTTTACTTTCTACTAAGGATTATTACACCTGTTTCCTGAAGGAGTCAGAAAATAAATGAAAACCATCTCAGTAACCTGATGTAAAAATCTAATGTACTTTGGCATTTCCTCTTAGTGTTTCTCTGGAACCAGACTTACAGTTGCAGTCTCAACATTTGACATTTGACCTCCCCACACTCAATACTATGGCATAGGAATTTTCCATGTTGCTACCATCAGTAACTGTTATTGGCTGTGTAATATCCCAGTTGGTGGATAATAACATTATCCCTATTTCTCTGTTATAGGGCATTTGACATCTTCATAGTTTTCTACCAGCCCATTAGCTCACTTCTGGCTTTATTCTTGTATTGTGATAATTTTAGGACATGCATGTACAGAAATAAGGATACCATTCGACACTCTAAAGTTCTGTATCTGCTTTTAAATTTTTCTTCTTGAGGAAGGTGGATTTGGGGCTTGTGGCTGTTTGAGCCTGGGGCTCTTTGCCCACTGCCAAGAAGCTCATTGTTCTGCCGAGTTGCTGGCGATTCTACGGGCATACAGAACAAGGATTGGCTGCTCAGCCGCCTCTCCCTAGGATTTATTTTGTTCCTCTTGTTATATCTTCATCAGCTATCCCACCAATCAGAACACTAATGAAAATCACTGCCCAGAATGAAGTCACAGGGTTCTCAAGGCAGTGTGGTTTTTTTTTTTTTTTTTTTTTTTTTTTTTTTTTTTTTTTTTTTACTATTTTTGATGTCTAGTTTCTGATCTGAGATTTCCTATCTTATGGAGATCAGCCAAATAATTAGATCTTTTAAGAATATAATCACTTCATAAGATCTAAAATCTTAATTTTTTTATTCAAAATTTTGCATGTATATACGTGGTGTGCATACATTCATATGTGTGCACCTGTGTAAGTGGAGGCCAGAGGTTGATGTCAGACGTCATCCACGACTGCTCTCCGCCTTACATATTGAGGCAGGGTCTCTCAGTTAAACCAGAGATCATCAACTCAGACAGTCTAGCTAGCTTGCTCTAGGGAATCCCACTGTCCGCCTCCCAAGCTGCTACCATTAGAAGCCAACCACCACACCCACCCGGCATTTTTGTGAGTGCTGGGGACCTGAACTCTGGTCTTCACACTTGTACATCAAAGTACTTTACCCATTAAGCCATCTCCTCAGCCCCAGTGATGAATATATATTTCCTCTCTGGTCAAGTCTTTCTCGGCTCTTTTACTTACTAGCTTTCTGGCCAGGCTGTTCATTCCACCTTTCTTGTTCTGTATTTTTGTTCTGGTGGTTTTGTTGAAGTTGGTTCCTAGGAAGCAGGGCTAGTTTTTTGGTTTCTTTTTTTCTTTGAGTTCCACATTTTTGGACTTTAATGCTGGTGCCCCAGAGAACCATTTGGCACTGTGTTTGCAGCTGGCAGGAGTCAATTTCCTTTCCTTGGGTACTGTGCAAGACACAGGAGTGACGCAAATAGGTCCTGGGAGAATGTCCCCCATCCCACCCTGCTTTCATCTGCACTTGAGCCTAACCCGGTTCCCACGGGACAGTGTGTTGGTCTGCAGCCCACGACTCCAGGGAAAGCTCTGCGAGTGTACACATGGGTAGAACTTGTTCTGACCACACACTGATAGGCCAATTGCTTCCTCCTGTTAGCCGATGTGGCATAGCCCACAGTGAGGTTTGGTGTTATTGAAGAGGGTTCCACTCTTTTATGCAACGTTGAACAAGATCAAGTCCCCACTCCTGACTTCCATTTATCTCTCCATTTTTCACGTGTCTTTAATTTTTCTCCTTATCCTTCTGAATAGCTTTAAATCATACTCTCCTCATGGACGCTGAAGAGCGGTCACTTACAAATCATCAGTGTGAGAAAGTGATAATATTCTTTCTCCTATTTCACTTTTTAAATGCAACCTATTACTTTCTGATACAGTTTAACACCCCACCACCACATACATTACCCCCTTAGTGCTTCTTACTTGATCTGTACAACTAAGGCGTGTGCACTTTCAAGATTCAAGACTGCAGGATTTTGCTCACCATTGTTTTTGCTGCTTGGTGGGAAAGTTTCTGTGCACCCACCCAGCAACTGATGATGCTATGAACTGCCTGCCTGGGAGTGACAGGTGACGAGCTCTGGTTTGATTTCTTTGATTAAACAGAGAATCCCTCCCCGCCAGTAGAATATCGTTTGCCATTTTGCATTTTATTCTTTAAAGAATAATGCATTCCTCAAAACTTGGTGAAACTTAAGGAAGAATGCTGTATACCATCTTTATCCCACAGGGTTTTGGGCAAATGTTAATGGAGGAAGTTCAAATGTTAATGGAGCAGTTCAAGCCCTGAGAAAAGAAGAATTTGTTGGCATTCTGTCCACATAGGAGAACATTTACCACAGGTGGTGGCTGCATCAGAGTGCTGTACTTGGAGTTCTAGCACAGAGCTGTGTAGGGTGATTCTGTCACCACCAAGGAGTGAGTCAGGTGCCTCCTAGTTGCGCAAAGGGCCTCAAAGGCAACCTGAGACTGCCCTTCACTGGTATTGCCAGAGTGGACTGGTATATGTGCGTTTCATATTTGTGGAGGGGCCCTGGCTGTGTGTGGACATCCTGGGATTCTTCGGGGACACTGGGAACTCTATCTACACAGACCTTTTCAGCTTTAGTCATATATGGTGGGAAGCAGAAGACCATAGGACTCGCTCAGTGAAACTCTGGAAGGAATTCTGACGGGCTTACATCAGTGATAACTGTTACATTATTAGTGTTGACCCCTCTCAACTTGAGCAGGTCAAGGTTTCGAAATGTTCTGGCTGCTTAGTTTTCTCACAGGCCTTCATCCCAGCACCCAGTCTAATTCTCTGCATTCACATTATTGTGTTCACCATACTGGTCTGGTACTTGCCAGGGACGAACCACCTTTCCTTGCTGACAGTGACTTATACCTAATTACTTAAAAATTCCCTTGTGAGTGTGATTATATTTCTCTTAGTTTCTCCCTTAATCAAAGGGTTCTCTGCCTGCTGGGAAACAATGGGCAGACAGCGGATTCAGTAGTTTTTTGAGCCGGTAGCACTCTGTGATGGAGGTTTTCCTGCTTAGTGGTGTGGCCATATAATGAATTGTTTTTTTAAAAAATATAATGAGAGCTGGGCAGTGGTGCACAGGCCTTTAATCCTAGCACTCAGGAGGCCAGCCTGGTCTACAGAGTGAGTTCCAAGACAGACTCCAAAGCTACAGAGAAACCCTGTCTCAACCACCACCCCCCAAATAATAATAATAGTAATAGAAACACAGAATGGTAAAAAAAAAAAAATACCGTGATGGAAATACTGCTAACTATTCCAGCATAACCCAGTGGTAAAGCAGACTCGAGAAGGAGGCGTCCTACACATGACCATAGTGGACAATGGGAGCCCTCCACAAATATTGAATCTTATAACCCAGTAAGTTTTATCTTTACAGCTTCACTGAGTAGTATTTTGATATGTCAAATTCGCCACCTATACAAGCACATTAAAGATTAGATAACTCCCCTTCAAATAATTGTGGACAACCATGTTTATTGATTCCAAGGGATCTTACTGTTGGAAGGTAACAAGAAACTACATTTCAGCATGTACTATTGAACCTGGATCACTCTAAAACACCAGAGAAAGGGAAAATATATTTAAGATGCTTTTAGAATGAATTCAAGTTTTGAAAGTATTATAGAGAAAAATTAACTCACAGGTAATACTTTCAACGTCTCAAAAGAAAATGGAAACATGCCATTTTTGTAAAATAAAAAAATAGATGTCATTAATGGCACATTTTAATGTTGTCATAGATTTCCCATGAGGGTGTCAGGAACAGTGGGGACAGTTTGTGGCCTTACTGGGAAGAACAGGACCTGGGAAGGAGGAAAACATAGCATTTGGCTTCCTCTGTTGATCAACAGGACATTGTCCAACTAATTCCACACCTGAACTAGAAATATTTCTTGGAAGTTCTAAAATATTTTTTTCCAATATCTTTCTGTCATTTGCTTCAGTTTATCATACCCTGAAAATAGATGAACATCTCCTTGTGCTTTTTTTCAAACCACAGAGTAGCCCTAACTTCAATTCACATTTCAAATTGGCCCAAATATGGCTGCACCTGCACATCTCTCAACTAAGCCTTTTGGTATTTTGATTTTCATAAAACATTTTAAATAGCACAGTGAAATTGGTAAAATACCTCATAGAATGATCAGTTATGACCACAGGCGACTAGAAAAAGAATTCCATGTGTTCAAAGAGAATAACAGTGTGTGGTCAATTCTATAAACAGTATGTATGGAAAAATAAGTTCTTAGGAACACTTCTTCAGTGTGATGAATGAGGTTATAATTCCATTTATTCTTTCAGTAACGCAGGCAAAAGTTAAAACTTGGGTACTGTGCTAAGTCCTTTACAGTGCTCCATACTGAACAGTCTTAAGTCCTTCACAGTGTCTGTACTGATGGGTACTGCACTGAGTACATATAATTTCTCATATCGAGTACTGTGATAAATGCTTTACCATAGCGCATGAGTTGAGAACAGTACTCTTTTCATCTGCATTCCAGCTCATACACAGAATTCCCCAAAGTTAGAGATGTAGTGACAATGTGCCCCACTCTGGTCTCCGTAACATGGAATCTGGGCTTTTCCCCACCCGACTCCATCTTGTCTCACCAGAACCCTTTCATCTCCTCAGGTTGGCAGTGCTCTCAAATGAGAGCATGAGCAGGACACTAAGACCCATAAATTCACACGGGCTTCCCAGCAACAGAAGAACGTGAGATTACTGCCACACAGCCAACAAAGGAGGAAGTGCTGTGCTTGGTGAGGATGTCCTTAACTGGGCAGTGTTCCCTCACAAGTCTCAGTATCGACAATGAAAACAACAAGAGAGGGAACAGGCAGGGACAAAAGTAGAGCCATGGAGGCTGGTGTCGGTAGCTATGGCAGCAGTAGCCCCAGTGGCTGTCTTTAGAAGTGGCAACAGATACAATTGGCTGAAAATGACAGAGATGAAGCTTAGAGACAGAAAACAGAACAGCTTTGCTGCCGAGGGCAACAATCGGCCACCTGTCTCTTTTCATCATCCTCCAAAGTCTAAGCAGGGTGAAATGAGGGCATCAGTGTCCTCTGCCCAGTGTCCCCATGGCATCTGTGTGGCCTGCAGCACAGCCCTCCTTGACAAGGGTTGTTATGGGGAAGACGAGGACATCAGGCAGGAGGGCATGGGTGCCCAGGGGTGTGATAGACGCCATTCCTGAGCATCAGCCTACTGCACAGGCCATTGGTGACATTCTCAGCCCCATCCTGCAGAGATGGCACCAAGTAAGGGGCACAGGGGCCTGCGATGTCCTCTGCTGTTTGCCGACATGACATGGATCAATGACACTTTCCCAATCCTTGATTCCCTCTTCCATAGAGATCCGTTTTTTCCATGCAGAGCAGCTATCGTCACCTCTACAGTGATTACACAGCATCACACACCTCTCACTGTGCTCACGGCTGTGTGCCAGTGTTTTCAATGTTTGATAAGAGGCTCCATTGAGAAAAAGTTGATGTTTTACAGGTAGGTGCTGAGACACTTGCTCTAGTTCTCAGAAGGGTGGACAACCCCAGCTGTCCAGCTCATGCTCCAAAGGCAGCCAAAGCTTTATTCCACTCATCTCCATGTGGTTTGGATGGTATTTTGAAGCAAAGTCTAGTGACACAGGCTGTTAGCACAGCTATTCTAGAAACTGAGGCAGAAGAAGGGTCACAGGTTCAAGGCCCACTTATGCTAGTGTGTGTTTTAAAGCCAGCCCAGGCAACTCAGCAAGACTCTGTCTCAAATTTTTAAAAGGAGGGAGTGTGGGCAGCGTAGATCAGTGGTAGAGTGCTTGCTTAGTGTGTGTGAGGCCTTAGGTTCAGTCCTCAATCACACACACACACACACACAACACACACACACACACACACACACACACACAATCTCCCAAATGCACAGGATATTCTAAGGATTGCTGTAAAAGTAAACTTCTGCATTTCTATAGGAAGGCTACAGTAACAGTCATTTAGTGATAACAGAGCAGGGGACGGCATCAGAAATTCTCCATCAGCGTTGGGGACTGGCTGACTGGCAAAATCACCATCATCTTTCCTCCTATAGGCAGGAATGCAGTGGCCATTAACACACATCTCCTTCAGAGTAGGCAATTTTGTGCCAGCTCTCCCATGAGATACAGAGTTGCCAGTGATTTTGTCCGTACAATGTCTATGTTACTGACCACTTCTTTCCCAGAAGATCGCTGTTCACTTGTGCTGGAGCCATTTGTAGGTAACGTTCATTGCTTCCATAAGTCAAGGCTCATCCTGAGTCACCACCATGTCCCTCCCTCCTCCGTACTCCTTTCCAGCACTGTAACCCTCCCAGGCACATATTAGCTACTGGCTGGCTGAGGAGAAATGCCTGGTCTATGGATGGAACTTCTACCAGGAGCAGTGAGGAGCTTTTGTTCAGATTCTGGGCTCTGTGGTTCCTTGGCTACTGGGGGACAGTTCTGAATCCATGTTGTTATCGTTTCCCCCCTCTCTAGAGTATGAATAACAGTGATAGTGACCCCATAGAGCTGCTGTGAAAACTGTTGAGGTGATCCCCATCATATAACTCCTATACTGTTTCCATAAAGAATATTTCTTCAGACTTTCACTGTTGCTAGGATCAAAGGCAAGGATACTCTTCTATGTTGCTGTGGGGCAGCTGCAGAATCATTTTCCATAGCAGGCTGAGATTTTACTTCAGGGAAAGGTGACTCTCAAAAAAAAAGTCATTCAGATCTAACCTGACTGAGAGAAATATCGAGTCAAGCCATTTCCTAGACCGTTAGGTAAGCCAGTAAGACAGACGCCCACACAGTGATACTTTCAGAACAGTTGGGGGAAAGCACAGCATGTCTATGATTTCCCTCAGTTTCTCCTCACATTTAAGGAGTTGGTACACATGCTGCCATGAGTCAGAGCTCAGCATCCCTTTAAGGAATTCACAGGCTAATAACTAGACACCAGAAGAGGAGACAATGCTCAGGATGCAGATAGTGACCTGCAGAAGGGTGTGTCGGAGAGACTCCACCATCTAGGACTCTGTAGACTGCCATGCACAGGCCACAGAAAGTGCAACCCTGGGAAAGCCAAGCCTCATTCCCTTCAGCTTTTGTTCAAAGGTTCCTTGTGGAAGGGGTTTCTTTGGCATCCCTTAGGAGGTCATCCTGAGATGAACAAAGCAGAGCCTCCTCACTAGATCTACCGCCAGGGGTGTGTATGGCTGCTCTCAAATGAGCATTGGGATTGCCAGGCTTGGTTTGCTACTAGCCTGTGATATATTTTCCTTGGATGCCCTGAGTACTCCTGAGAGAGTAGAAAAATGCAGAGATTTTTATTTATTGCTATTTCCACCCCTAGAGTAGATCCCAGCCCAGAGAACTAACCCAGCAAATTTTGGTTAAGAACCAGAAAGAGTAGATGTATAATGAAGGGACGTGCCCACTCCTGTCTGGCCAGACCAAACAAGTGAGGAATGGTATCCTCCTGTGACTACCCACTATTGTCCTGGGAGGCTGGACTGTTGCGTCCCACTGTCCCCAAGGTGCCACTCACCTTCAGCTTGTGCTCATGTTCCTTGTTGACCCGGGCCAACAACTGAGCCTTCCTTCGGTTTAGGGCATCAATGAGAGCATCGCACTGGGCCACCAGGCAGGCCTCAAACTCCACACTGTTTTCCTGAATGAGAAAGCACACTTCTCAGGCACATGGATGGGGGCAGCTTGGGTAGTCAAAAACCAGAGCACCCCATTCCTTCCTACTGAAGAGAAAGGAAGGAAGTCTGTCTACAGAGCACATACTATTTCCAAATTACTGGTAAACTGTGTTCTGTAGTGCGAGTGTTTTGCTTTTGATTTACATGGAAAAAAAGTAGGTATTTGTTAATTAAATTATTTTTTATCAAAAGAAATCATCTCTGCAGCTTGAATTATAGTAAGTATAAAAATGTTTTGGCTTGCACAAGTCCACTGCATGTACTTAGTTCTGCGGTGGTGTCTAGGAGGAAGAGGGTAGAGTCAGGGCAGGAGAGAAAGGGGTAATTTAACAGAAGAAAGAAGAGGGGATGACAAAGGTCCTCCATATTAAACGATGATACAATGTTGCAAAGGACAATGAGCAAAAGCAGTTGTACCTCATGAAGAAAGGCAATAGTGGAGAACAACTCATATTGGTAACAACATTTTCTTGCTGTACAATCAGACAGGACACTGTAGCTTGCTAAGGAAAGGGAGAAAGCTAGAGAAGGAAGTGTGGTCCCCTGGTATTTAAGTTGAATGCTGGCTATGGCAGTTTTTCCTTGATTTTACCCATTAGTTCTTTCAATTAGCAATTCTGAATTATAGGCATATATTAAAGGTCTTTGATACTTATTCAGCAACTTTCTTCAAATGCCGAGTCTTTGTCTGAGACCGAATTAGATGAAGCAGTAGCTCCTATGGATGCTAATTTCTGCTCTCCTGGCAACCATCTTTGAATTCTCAGAGAACGTCCTTGAAGAAACATTTAAGGGCTTGCTGTGCCCTATCTAGAGTGATGGTGGGAGGGAGCCTTCCCTCGAAGACTCTGCTGCTGTTTTCTTATGGAAAGAACACTTTGCTCTGATAGAAAGGCAAGCCCGGGGCTGCACTGTTTGTGCCAGCAAATGCAAAGAAAGGGTTGATTGATGAATGCTGTTGCTTTGGAAAACAGAAGGAAGTGTACAAAACTGCTAGGGAACCAACAGTTTTAACACGGGCATGCATACAAAAAAAGAAAAAAGGCAACGGAACCAGTGTGCAGTGCTTTGAAAGGCTGGCTTACATTAAAAATCCATTTCTGCTTTGACATGGGTTAGTCCCTCAGAAAGCCAATTTACTGGAGGGCAGAGTTAAGGTTACTTCTGTGAGGCAAATCTCAAAACATGTAAGACTGGTAAACAGGGCAGAGGGGTCATTGTTTTGTTGTCTCGTGTGTTTTACGGTTTCTCCCTTTCGGCTACAGTGGGAAATATATGCATTCTCAAATGCCGACTGACCTGCTGGCCATAGGCAATCTGAAAGTATAGTCACTAGGGCACTGAGGCTAGAAAATATCTAAGTGTCTGAGACGAAAGAAGCATTATGATAGAACAGAGAGAAAGGAAAAAAGAGAGGGAGAAGGGAGGGTGAGAGAAGGAAGAAGACAGGAAACGATTAATGTTAAATAAAACAAGCCTTGGGGACCAACAGAATTTTAGAAACTCGGTTCGCAAAGAAATGGGCCTCTGTCTAAATGCAATGTGGTAACAGGGTCAGGGCCTCAGAGTGGAAGGCAGGAAGCACCTGAGACAGACAACCCTGGCTTGTGGACAAAAGAGCTACCTCAAGAAGCGGCCCGTGTGAGGTTAACCACTGTGTGTGTCTGCCTGTGTAGGGGGACAGGGCAGAAAGAAAGAGGGATTTCCTCAGAACACATCAAGTCAGAGGGCCTCACCCGGCTTTGGTTGCATTCAGCCTGTGCTGCCCACCCCTGCACCCCCCCACTCCCTTCACCCCTGTACCTGGATCTGTTGCACCATGCTGCGGAGTTGCACCAGGAACTCCTTGGCTTCTTTGGCCCTGTCTGACAATCCATTCAGCGCCTGGGAGAGCTGGCTCTGTGGAGAGAAGGAAGGAAAGCCTGAGCTGCAGGTACACAGGGCTATGTGTGCTACTTCAAAGCCATGGGGCTCCCAAACCCTGGAGCCATTAGTCTGCTCCGAATCCTCTTGTCTGGGCCTTTGGGGTAACGTGGGTAGTTGGGTTCTAGTACCCAGGCAAGCAGTCCTTCCCTGGGCCCCTAGGGGAGCACGTTTTTCTCTGAGGCTGCAGATGTTCCTGGCCACTGGAGTCAACTGCTTCACTAGTTGATAGCCACGTAGAGTGACCTCATCTCGTTAGTTCATCAATCTTTTATTTCATTTGTGAGGGATAAAAAACCAAACAAAACTAGTGAGTCAATTGAGTTGACAGTACTTAGCCCAAAGGTTCATTGGTCGGGGTGGGGGTAGGGTGGGAGTGGGGAAAGAAATAAGGAAGACAATCAGGATGAAAAAGGAAGGGTTGAGCATTGGTGTGATGCTCTGGGGCCACAAAAATGTTAATGGATGAAGATAAAGGCCCGGAGAGCATTCCACCCCACCAATGTCCTCCTCCTTTTTCCAAGTGCACTTACTCTAGGTTCCCAAGCCCCAACAGCATCCTAACCAAGGCCAATGCCTACCCTGTTCCTAACCCCCACACCACCAAACCCCCGGTAGTTCTGCAGGGGCAAAGTGTGTCCAGGCCAGCACTGCTTTCCAGCCATGGCATCTGCTGAGATGACCAACACCCAAGCCACTCATCAATGGAAGCTAGGTGAAGGTCCACCAGAGAATGGCAGGTCTGAGAAACCTGACACGTGACCAGTGTGGCTGATGCAGTTTCTCCTCTTTGGTTTCTGCCTTTGAGGCAGATCAGTATCTTCTGGATAGGAGGTCAATGCAGCAAGGATGGTGGGGTAAGGACCAGGGGTTCTGAGTCAGTATCCCAAGGCTCTCACCACTGTGTTTCCTGTTGGGAAGAATGAACTGCTACTTAAGCCCTGTGCTGAGGTTTTTCATTCCTGAAGCTGTGGATATAAGATTCTTTGTCCTAGCAGGCTAAGCAGAATCATTGTCCCCCAGGCAGTGGCTGGCCCTTCTTTGTTCCTCTTTCCTGTGCCTTCTTGAAAGCCCCAAACCCATTCTCCTCAACCAGTACAATGCCCCTCGTATCCTTTCAGCAAAAAGACAAACACCTCAAAATGATATCTCTTGGTCCTGTGATTTTTTTCTCTTAGATTTGTCTTATTAAATATGAAGGGAGACACTGCATTTTCTCTAAAATACGAAGGTCAAATGCTGATCATTGAAATAGTATTTTGCCATTGGGCTCTTAATGAATATAGGGCAGTGCATAAGGGAACTATCCCATTTTGTAGATGCTGCCAACTACCTGCTGTCTATGCGTTTACACATAGTTTGGCCACCTGAATAAAATGAGAATGCTACTTACTCTTGGATGGTGTGGGCACTGCATGAGATAACATTTTAAAGGCCAGGACGCTTTAAATGCAGGTGTTTCCTTAATAACTGTTGGGTGGTTTTTAACTCACATTTGCTTCCTTCATTTCCAGGTACCTAAACACCCAATGATGAGGTGATGGGAGGATGTCCTTCCGTATGCTCTGAATATGTTTCTCTAATTGGTTGATGAATAAAGCTGTTTCTGCCAATGGACAGGAAGGATTTAGTCAGGCAGGAAATCCAAATAGGGATAGAGAAAGGTAGTAGCTGGAGTCAGGGAGATGCCATGTAGCTGCTGAGGAAGCAGGAAGTCCAGGCATCACCAACAAGCAAAGACCACGCAGAGATACACAGATGAATAGAAATGACTTAATAATTAAGAGAGAGCTAGCCATTAAGAAGCCAGAAACATTGGCCAAGCAGTTTAGAATTATTATATGCCTCTGTGTGTTAATTTGGGACTAAACGGTGGCAGGACCAGGTGGGACAGAAACTTCTGTCTGCAATGAGGAATTCAAAGGGAAGACTCCTCAGTAATATCTGCTGGAAACATCTTTGTTGGCTTGTACTTTGCTATGTATTTCAACCCCACAAAGTATACCAGCACAACCAAAAGAGTCTACATTGCAAAGGGGCCTTTCATCTCTTTATTACTGTGTCTTAGTGACACCATCATTTGGGGGTAAATTTTCTCTTTAAGAACTTTTGCCAGTCAGAGATCTATAAGGATGATACCAACTAACAATCTAAGCAATAGTGGAGAGGCTATCTTAAATGCCCTTCCCAGATAATGAGATTGATGACTGACTATCTTATATGCCATCCTAGAGCCTTCATCCAGTAGCTGATGGAAGCAGAAGCAGACACCCACAGCTAAACACTGAGCTGAACTCCTAGAATCCAGTTGCAGAGAGGGAGGAGTGATGAACAAAGGGGTCAAGACCAGTCTGGAGAAATTCGCAGAAACAGCTGACCTGAACAAGGGGGAGCTTATGGGTTCAGACTGATAGCTGGGAAATCAGCATAGGACGACCCAGACCCACTGAGAAACCAGCATAGGACGACCCAGACCCACTGAACGTGGGTCAGTCAGGAGGCCTGGACAATCTATGAGGCCTCTAGTAGTGGATCAGTGATTATCCTTAGTATACGAATGGATTTTTGGACCCCACTCCACATGGAGGGATACTCTCTCAGCCTAGACACATGGGGGAGGGTCTAGGCCCTGCTCCAAATAATATGACAGACTTTGAAGATTCCCTCATGGAAGGCCTTACCCTCCCCGGGGTGCAGAAAGGGGATGGGATAGGGAGTTGTGGGGGCAGGGGAGGAGGGGAGGGAGAGGGAACTGGGATTGACAAGTAAAACAATCTTGTTTCTAATTTAAATTTAAAAAATAGGAAAAAAAAGAACTTTTTCCAGGCCCTGGAGAAATGTCCCAGCCATTAAAAAGGAAAAAAAAAGAACTTTTTCCAGGCCCTGGAGAAATGTCCCAGCCATTAAAATATAAGACTGTTTCTAAGATCTCAGTAAACAAAAGAACAGGTTCTCATTTGGAAACACAGTAATAAAATGAGAGACAATTCTAAAGAGGGGAGTTTGGTATTCACTGTTATCTGTAGAACTCGAGTTCTTCATTTTTTTCCAAATGAATGGCAGTCTACTGGGATACAAAGATCTTCCTCTCTGTAGTCAATGTACTTAGAGGTTTGAGAGCAGGAGTCAAATTCATATGGCTACACACACATTAAACTTCCTGATTTCTGACATTCCAACCTCAAAATTTATCATGTCTGTGTAAAGATTTATTGACTGGGCACTGTTACATACTTGGGAAAGCTATGGTGAAGTCTGGCAACAACTCAGTAGGCAAAGGCACTTTCTATGCACGCTTGAACTCAACACCTACAGAAAACGCCAGGCTCAGGACATCATTCTGTAACCCCAGTACAAGGGAGCCAGAGATAGGAGTCCTGGCCAGCTAGCCTAGCTTAATTGATGAACTCTAGGTTCAGTGCAAGACCCTGTCTTGAAAAATCAGTTGGGGAGCGATTAAGGAAGTCAGCCAGCATCAACGTCTGTGCATTTTTGTGTGCACATGTACACCCACCCAATAAAACACATATAAAATCCCCCACACACAAATTTTCAAAATGATATTTAGGAGTAGACAAAGAGTCTATCTTCATTCAGGGTCTTAAATGTCAGAGCAATAAGTGAGCAGCAAAAATCAATTTTCCTCCAGATTTAATCTCTTTGTGTCTGTGTTGGAGGTTGGGTGCCCTCCACCCAGCTGACAATTGTTTGACATTTGATAAACAGCTATTTTATAAGATAGAGATCCATGAAGTTTTCCCCTAAGCTTTGCCCACTTGCAGAATTTGGCAGCAGACAAAGTGCTGTATTGTAAGGGTTTATGTTTGTTGCTTTCGTTGGCTAGCTTCCTGAGCACGTTTATAAGCCGTATCTGATTAAACATTATTACTTATTGATCTGGTTTGCTTAAAACATTTGAATCTAGCCTGTGCCAGCAGAGGTGTTTTGTATTCAGGACCACAGAGCAGTGCTGTGAACTTTCTGCCTGTGCACTGAATGTGTGTTCTCCTCTGGGCATCCTTGGAGGGAGAAAGGTACAGTTAGTTCTAAAGGCTGTTTGTAATGCCTAAGCCAAGGCACTTGGGTTTCCTGGATATTTGTCTTCTAATTTGAGATGGTTCTGAAAGTGAAGGAGTGTTACAATGAGGCAGCCACAGACACTCTGATGAATTTCTTGGCTCAGGGCATGCTTGGAATAACCAGGGTCTCCCTGGAAGGAGGCACACTGTTTGAATCTGAAGTAGAGAAAAAGAGCCCCACATCCTTCTTCCCTCCTCGCTTGCCTGTATGGGATGGTTGTTTGTGAGTGTGAAATGCTTGCATATGTGTGATAGCCCTTCAGAGAGGGTGAGGGTCTCTAGGCTTTGGGTGAAGCTGCTGTTACAGAGGTCTTGTGGCTAGGGACACAGTCAACAAATCTCATTATGTTTACTGTGAATTTGATTCTGAGCTGTGTGTAGATCCAGGGAGGACTTTTAATCTGGAACAGTCATATACAAACTTCTTCCATTGTCTTAGCTACAAGAGACAAACAAAAAACCCTAACACCTCTTAAAAGAGAAACTTTATTTTGGCTCTCGGTTTGAAGGTACAATCCATTGTTGTGGGGAGGTCAAGATGGCAAACGTTTAAAGCAGCTGGTCATACTGCATTTGTAATAAGGATGCAGAGAGCAATGACTACCTCTACCAAGCTAGCTTTCTCTTTAAATTAAAAAAAATATGTATACATATATATATATATATATATATATATATATATATATCACACAGACACTCAAGGCATATGTGCCACAGTGGTACATACGGAGGTGAGAGGACAGCTTTGTGGACTCTATTCTATTCTTTCCTCCTTTCTGTGGGTGTAGGGAGTAACCCTAGCCCCGCCAATAGTCCTGGGGCAGGTACCAGGTGGACCTGGGGACTCGCCCATAAGGGCGGGGTGAAGGAAAGCCGGCATGACGTAAAGGGGGCTTCTTAAAGGACTGCACGTGGGGACCGCTCTCTCTCTTTTTTCTGGCCGCGCTGGCTGGGTTCTTAACCTAGCTCTGGCCTGTGTTTCACCCAGCTGTGCTTGGAAATAAAGAGACCTTAATCCAATATGTGGGTTCTGGGGCTTGAACTCAGGTTTCCAGGCTTGCAAAGCAAGCACCTGTACCTACTACGCCACCTTGCCAGCCCACTTTCCCCTTTTTTATACTGTCTAGGACCCAAGTCAGGGATGCTGTGCCAGCCACTGTTAGGTTGGTTCTTCTCACTATGATTAACCTGATCAAGAGCATCCCTCTAGGGTACTCCTGGAGGCTGGTCTACTAGGTAATTGCAGATCCCATCCAGTTCACAATCAATAGTGAATCATATCTACCTTCATTGCTACCATGACAAAGATTCTCTTCCTGCCCAAACTATAGTAAGGTTCTCTGGAACCCCCTTCCCCATTAGGCCTTCGCCTTGGTCTATAGGGCATGGACTAACACAGTTGCATGGTATCCCTATGATGAACCCCTCCCCCACTTAAAGCACTTGCTTGAGGAAACCCAAAGTCACAGAAAAGATTTACAGTTATCCAGTACCTGAAGACAGAGCCCTGTCTCCCCGTCTTCGTAGCAGGAGAGGGGGAGAGGGGCTGACTTTAACAAGTGTCAGTGAGCAAGCCTAGCTGGGTT